ACGTGCTTGGCTGCTGTCATGTTCACCTGCGCTGGGTTGCTGCAGGCCTTGGAAAGTTGTAGGGCAGCTTAGGAGAATCGCGTGCACTGGGCCAGGTAGAGGATGCTTCCTGTCATCGACTGGTAGATTTTCTTGTCCGTGGGTCCTAGGATTTGGTCCTGAGGTTGATTCGTGGAGATTTCCGCTCCGTATCCAGGAGTGCTCACTGGGTTGGCCTCTTGCATTCCGAACCGCTCCAGAAGTGTGTTCACGTAGTGCTCCTGTGAAATGGCCAGGGTTCCTTGCTCGTAGTCCCGCTGCACGTCGATCCCGAGGATCCGCTTTACCTCTCCCATGTCGGTCATCTCGAATCGATCCGTGAGCTCCTTCTTCTTCTGGTCCACGAGCTGCTGGTCTCCTCCTGTGATGAGAATGTCGTCTACGTAGACCGTGAGAATCACGATGATGTTGCCGCTGGTATACACGTACACCCAGGGGTCGGATTGAGTCCTTTTCCATCCGAACACCGTGAGGGATTCGTCCAGGGTGTCGTTCCAGAGCGCAGGCGACTGCGATAGGCCGTAGAGGCTCCGTTCTAGTTTGTACACCACGGGTTCTCGCGTCGCGGAGTTCTTCGCCGATGTACCGGGGGCGGGTCTGACGTACACATCTCTGTCGCAGAGGGCGTTCAGGAAGGCACCGACAACGTCCAGTTGGTAGATGGGCCAGTTGTTGTGGCAGCCAATGGCGCACGTCATGCGAATGCTCCCGATACGGCATACTGGTGCGTAGCTGCGTCCGTAGTCCTGTCCTGGCTCTTGACGATGTCCTGCGACTACCAGGCGAGCTTTGAAGTGTCCGTCTAGCTTTTTCTTGAAGACGAATTTCGTTCCAAGGATCTTCTCTCCCTTGGGAACGCTGCTGAGGGGCACCAGATTGTAGACGTTGTGTTTCCGCAGATTGTCCATTTCCTTGCTGCACGCTCCTTTCCATTCTTCGCGCTGGGGAGAGCTCATGGCTTCGTCGTAGGTGTTGGGGATTTTGATCGCTTGATTCGTCTCCTCCAAGATCCCGTGGTGTTCGTGAGTGGTCGTGACGTAGGCGTGAGCACGCGGCACCGTGAAGGGGTCTACCGCAACGTGGGTGAAATCCTCAGTATCGCTAGGGCATGGGAGCTGGGCTTGATCGGCTATCTCAGCCAGCTGAATGAAGAGACCGGATGGCTCCACGCGGCCCGTTGTAGCATGGGCTCGACCGCGGTCGTTCATGGTGACTTCCAGATTGGCAGGAACCAAGTTGACGTCGATATGATCGTCGCTGGTGGGCTTCCCGCGCGTGCTGGCTCTGGTGACTTGCAGGCGCCGCATGCCGGAGGATCCAGTTGATGCAGAAGTGTCCGGTTCAGTCGGGTTCGACGATGATGGACTGGGGCTAGATGCGTGGGTCTCGGATGACGATCCAGCTGGCGTCGATGGGAGATGTGGTGATGGAGCGTCCCCGTCGCCGAGATCTTGCCCGTTTCCATGTTCGTCCTCGTGCCCGTCCAGTTCTAGGCGAAGCTTCTCCCGAGCGAGATTGTCTTGCTGCATCTTCCGGACTTCTTGCCGAAGGAGTTCGTTCTGCGCCGTGAAGTCCAGGTCGCTCGTCGAGTGGGGGCTGTCCAGCAGGGAGGTGAAGCTCAGCACGTCGCTCTCGTACCCGTTTGCTTCAGTGGAATACTGGAAGGGCACTGAGCGGGGTGGAGATTCGATGAAAGTCACATTCCGGCTCTCGACCACGGCCCCGTTGGATGGATTCAATACCCGGTAGGTCTGGCTGTCGAGGCCGAAACCACATAGCTTGCCTTCGAAAGCTCTGTCGTCCAGCTTCTTTCGGTATCTCTCGTGGTGTACGAAGGCGCGCGCTCCAATGACCCGAAGTCCCGAGAGATCAGGTGACTTATTGTGCAACTTCGAGTATGGCGTAGCTCCTCCCAGTGCTGAGTGTGGGGACCTGTTCAACAGGTATGCTGCAGTCAGCATTAACTCCCCCCACATGGACGGCGGAAAATCTCCATCCTTCAGAAGACACCGGGTGACTCCGGCCAGGGTTTGTCCGTCCCGTTCCGATACACCAATTTGTTGAGGGGTGTTGGTGGCGGCGTATTCGAGCTTGATAGCTGAATTCTTGCAGTAGTCCCGAAATTCGGATCCGGTGTTCTCGCCTCCCTTGTCGCAGCGGATGGTCTCGATCCGGTAGCCTCCTGCCGCTGCGACGCACATGTTGTACGTGTGCACCGCCTCGGTCGTGTCAGATTTCTTGCGAAGCAGGTACACTTCTTTCATCTTCGTGTAGTCGTCGGTGATCTTGCACGCGTACGGGAAGGAGCCTCCTTTATATTTCGCAGGTGGATTAACAGGCCCCATGTTGTCGATGACCACAAGCTGTCCAGGCCGTGATAGTTCGCGAGTCGATTGCTTCGGGTGGGGGGACTGCTTGTGTTTCGCGATCTGGCAGACCCCGCAAGGGGAGAGACTGTCGCGATAGTCCACCCCGGTACCCGTGTCCTTCCGAAGGATGTCCAGGCTCCGAGCATTGAGATGTCCAAGCCTCCTGTGCCAGGTGTCCGCGCTCACTAGCGTAAAGCAGACGGCGTTCGCCGTGTGGGTCTGTGACTGCTTCTGGTGGGGCACGAGGGATTTCGTGCCAGATGGCTGGACGTTCTGCTCGAACGTGATGTCGAGGGTGCACATGCCTTGGTCTCGCGGATCTTGTGTGAGTGGAATCACCTTGTCTTGGATAGTGAGGTGCGGAGTGCTCTCTTCGACGACGCAGCGCAATCCCTTTTTCAGGAGGGAGGTGGGCGAAAAAATGTTGCGACCAAGTCCCGGAACGATGAGTCCCTGAATCCGCACGCGCAATTGCTGTCCTCGATTGTCCTTGACGGTGCAGTGTAGGATGCCCGTGGCCGTGCCTTTGAGTTGTCTTTCTCCGGCCACGTCCACGATCTTTGGAGAGTTTCGCTGGGTGTAATCGTGGAGGTTTCCGTCGGGGATGAGGCGATTGTCAAACATGGTCTCCGATGCTTCCGTGTCTACCAGCAGGCCTACCCCGCTGGAGCTCGCGGCGTAGTTGCGTCCTGAGATGCGGGAACACGTGCCGAACATGAAGCCGCTGTCAAAGGCGTCCTCGTCCCGGGTGAAGTCGACAACTGCCACTTCATTGTTTGAGTCGTGCTTGTTGGACGCCGACGAGCAGTGAGTGCAGTTGGAGCACGCGGTGAATGCTTTACTTGAGTCCTTGGTGTCTTCCGGGCGCTTTCCTCCTTGCTGGTAGCATTCCTCGTCCGAGTGAGACGTGGTGTTGTGCTTGGAGCACCACTTGGTAGCTCCGGCGGGCTTCGTTTTCTTCTTCGCCCTGTTCTTGATCTTGGGGCAGTTCCTCCTGATGTGCCCCGGCTCGTAGCAGCTGTGGCAGATGATGTCAGACGCGGTCGTTGCCATGGCAAATCCTCGACCAGCTATGCGTCCCTTCCATCCCTTGCGCGATTGTTCGTCCAAGAAGATGTTGCGCATGGTGGATTGCATGTCCAGGACGTTGAAGGTTGGGTCTCTGAACACCATCAGTTTGACGTCCTTGTATTCGTCGGAGAAGCCCTGTACGCAGATGTCCTTGAAGCGGCGGTCGGAGATGGTTTCTCCCATCTTATCCAGCTGGGTGCGAAGTAGGTGCTTCTGTTTGAAGTAGTCGTTGGGATTTTCACCAGGCTTCATGGGGTTGTTCTCCAGCTCCTCCATCTTGGCCCTGATGACCTCGTCCGTTACCCTGTCATAGTTGTTGCAGAGCTCCTCGAAGGCAGCTTGTCCGTCGCCGCTGATGCCAGTGTCGTCTTCGTGCTTCTGTATCGACAAGGCGGCTGGAAGTTCCACTAGGAGGAAAAGAATGGCGTAGAGATCTTCGTTTGCCCTTGTGTAGGAGTCGAAGGCCGCTGTGTCTGCGGGATCTGGCTTCCTTTGTTTCTTCAGCAGTGGCAGGATGTCCTTCCTGGTCACACCTAACACCACGCAGAATTTCTTCATCCATGTCTTGAACTCAGCTGGGTCCTTTCCGTCGAATTTCTTGAGGCCTTTGATCACGGTTGCCAGGTTCGTAGAACTATCGCTGGCGAACGCGCTTCCACCTCCTGTGTTGGTCGTTGCAGTATCCATTGCTCGTTCCAGCTTATTTTCTTCGTCTTGATAAAAGTACTTCCTGCTGTAGGAGTAAGTTTGCTCGTGGTACTACTGCCTGTACCCGAGACTTCCCCACCCCGGTCCTGCTACTGATATAGGGGACTACGGTTGTGGTTTTCTTGTTTCCGATCCCGCTCCTGCTACTGATATAGAGGACTCCGGTTGTTGATCGCCTCCACTGATGATACAGTGTAGTTCCTTGTACACCCGATGCGTATGCCGCTCGAGACTCCCGCGCACGTGACCCTTGCTGCTAGTTCACCACAGAGATACCCGCTACTGCCACAGGGGTGGTAACGTGTGTATACGACGTGAACCCTCAGCACCTTGGTGTAGATGACCAAGTTTGCGCGTCTGCTTGTGTTGCCGTTGACCGATGACGGCGTCGCAATCTCCAGAAATCTCCGAAACCAGGTTCTCTCGTTGTCCACGGATGAAGGTTGATGTCCCGAGAAGAGGTTGCCTTGATCTTCCCGTGATGTTCGCAGCTCGTAGTGTGTGCGTTAGCCGAGGCTCATAACCTGTCAGCGATATTTCGCTGTGCACTAGCAGCAGTACGATGCTGCAGATGCCAGGAGGCTGTGTAGCCTACCTCAGAGGTTCACACTCTGTGCGTCTCCAACCGCGAGAGACTTGGAATGGAAATATGAAGATGCTTTTATTAGTTGCTGACTCCCGAGTCAGATGTTGCTGGTACTGAAGAGGAGTGAGAGGAGTGGGCGAGCTTAGGGCTGCACCACTCTTCTCGAATACCGGACAAATAAGCCAATCACACGAAAGATCCAGAATGCTTCCAGAATGATTTCTGGAAGCCCTCCTACGTTCTAGAAGAGTATCAACTGCAACCTAGATCTAGAACGCTTCCAGAAGCTTACAGAAGGAACCAGAAGTTTCCAGAAAGGCTTCCAGAGGCTACAGGAGGAACCAGAAGTTTCCAGAAGGCTTCCAGAAGCTACACACGTTCTACATAGATGTCCCGGTCAACCTTGACCTAGCATGCTTCCGGAATATTTCTAGAACAAGAGAATACATGCCAAGGAGAGATGGATTCTTTTCTACTGCTACGCAGACTAGTTGCTGCAATCGTATTCAA